AACCCTAGGGTTTCACCAGAACAACCTTACTTTTATTAATAAGATAGTTGGAGCAAGATAGTAAAAACTGAGCTGCTATAGCACTGTTCATCAGCAGCTATTATAGATATAGCTTTCCAATTTTTAGCGAGTAAACTGCAAATACTACCCCTGTGTTATCTCGAAATAGCAAAAAACCCCTTGTGATAAATAAACTAGCAAAAACCCCCCTGTGAAATTTAGTCAAAGGCAGAATCCCCCCTAGCTGATTTTTTAGACTTGAAATGACAAAATTGTCCCTCAAAATGTATTTATATATATACATATTATATTTATATTTATTCTTTTTAATTTATTTGTTTAGAAATTAAAAAAATAGTATACAACTAAATTGATTATTTTTTAAATAAAATAATTAAAATATTTATAAAATATAAGAATTTATTAATTGCAAAACTCCAGGGGTATTTGTGTCTTTTTATATCAAGCCAACCCTCAAATAGTTCCATAGGGGGGTTTTTGCTATTTAAATAATTTCACAGGGGAGGTTTTTGCTAGTTTATTTATCACAGGGGGGTTTTTGCTATTTCAAGATTACACAGGGGTAGTTTTTGCAGTTTACTCAATTTTTAGCCTTAACCTTGGAGATGCCCTAATACAAGAAGTTACATGCAATATATCTTCAACCAGAAAAATTAACTCCAACACCAATATACTACATATATATATTTTCGCGTAAATATTAAATCATCGACTATGCACGAACAAATACATACTAGACTTTGTATTCAGTTCTCAATTACATCGATGCTAAGGGGATTCGGCGGTGACTATTTACATTCTTACAAATGTCAGCTATATATATAATTAAGTATATCATATAGGGCACCAGAAGTTGGTTCCCCAACAGGTTTCAAAACTGTAAATACTGATAAGTTCGTCTATATAGAGAATCTCGCATATATATTAAAGGAACTCCGTACACATCTCACCGTTCAATGTCGAAATTTGACAGTTAGATTGATATACAGTCTCCTTCCTCCCCTGCACTACACCTATATGGTTGATAGCAGGTAAAATATTAGAACTCCTATAGGGGTAGAAATCGGACAAATTGGATCGACATTAGCACTTTCTGAAGAAAAAAAAACCATTTTTTTAAAATGGAAAATTAATTCCAATTTTGTTCCAAATAGATTCTGAAAATTCGGAAATCGGAGATTGGAGTGATTTTTTGTTTTTCCAAAATCAGAAATTTCCCGATCGGAAATAGGAAATTTTGTGAAATTCCAATTTTTTGGCCACTTATAAGACAAAATACATAATATTATTTGATATTTGAAGTGTAATTTTGGAAGTTTGGAAATATTTCCGGAAATTAAAATTGGATCGAAAATTGGAATATAATTAGTATTTCAATTCCCTAAAAAAAGAATCGGAAAAATCGAAACTTTCGGAATTCGGAATGAAAAATACTTTCCAAACTCGGAAATTCTTGGATCAGAATAAGAGGAATTCGGAATTTCCACTCCTAATCCCTTGAGACATGCAAACATTAAACATTAAACATAGTTACCTGGATAGAGGTGGACAACTAGCAATCATCGGGGCTCGATAATGGCATCGAAGAATTTTCTTCGCCTTTCGAACTTAAAGTCGCCGGATTCATACGCTGCACCTCCTCTTTTGTAAGGATTAAGATCTTGCGAACCATACCACAAAATTCTCTGTTTCTCAACAAGAAACAGAGGAACCATTTAATATATAATCATGCACCGTAACTAAAAAAGAAATAAGCCAGATAAAATTCAAAAAAATATAATCGACGTATGTATTCGGGAAAACTTACTCCCACGGATCATCTCCAACAAGCATCATCTCATCCTCGTCATCGATATACACAACTAGCCAATTCTTGTTCCTATCTTTAAGTTCGCCATTAAATTCGAAGATAGTATCCAATTCCGAAATCAATCCGTCGTAATTTTCAAACTTGGTAAGATCCACAGACCTACCGAGGGCCGAACCCTGCTTATGAACCTGAAGAAATTGCCACATTTTAATTAATTAATATATTTATATGAGAGAAAGTCAATGATAATGTCAACGATGAAAACCTTGGTGCAACTCCTTGTCGAAGCCGAGTGACCTTTGCTCTCTTTCTCAATTGTAGCCACCGGATAATCCACCACTTTCGAGCCCTTTGATAAATCCGACCGTTGATCGGATTCAAATACAGGGGATTGATTGGAATGTACCGCATTTTTCGTACAATCCGATGGCTCGACCGTCGGATTTCTGTGTAAGAATGCTTGATCCGACGGTGCAGAATTACTGACAAGGGGATAACCAAAAAGCTTACAGTTGTTCCCTTCCTTGGGTTTCACAATTGCATCATGTTTTTGTTGTGCAAATAAAGACTTGGGCAGTATCTCCCTCGATCGAGCTTGTGGTATTTGAAGGTAGGGCGAAATAGGAGGGGGCATCATAAACCAATTCGCTTGTGGATAATTGGAATAATCTCCAAAATCACCGTATCTAAATTCACCATTATTATTCTTCGAGCTAGACTCCATAATATTGAGCGATAGACCATACGAAGAAGAAGAAGGCGTCGTAGTAGACCAAATGTTGTTGTTGTCGTCGAAGCTAAACTCCCCTTGTCTTTGTCTCTTCGAAAAATGACTGACGAAATCACGGGGCGAATTATTTTTCGAGTCGAAACCAGATAATAGATCTGTGAATCTTCTAGAAGCAGAAACGTCAATCTTGTCATCGTCTAATGAGGGGTCCCACAAAAATGGCTTCTCAGAAGAAGTTTCTACTACTGTCATCTTCAACGAAGCTATATTGCATCAAAGACGACAAATTAGAAAAACTTGGAATTTAACTAAACAAGATCACACACACACAAACACACCTTCTCGAGTGAGAACAGAGGAATCGGGTGAGGAGGGCAAAACACTAGATCGAGGCCTTTTGTGTCGAGGCAGGGGAAGTGGATTTAAAGCAGGTGGGGACAGAGCATGCTCTGTTTTCCACGGGGAAACTCTGTCTGGTCGAGGAATAGCTGAAGTTTCATCCCACCGCACCTTTAAAGTTAGAATTACGAGATTGATCACTTCTCGGAATTACATGTTTGAAAGAAGGAGGGAGAGGGAATATACCTTTAGGCATCTCCACTTAGACTCCGGCCACCTCTTCGGATGAGCGTCTTCGATACCAACAATAGTTCCGGTATACCTACAAAAATTACAGAAAAAAAAATTAAATGAAAATGCGTAATATAATTGTTGGCTACATATCTCATTGGAGTTGCTGCGTTACCTCTGTTCAGGAGCTTCTTCACCTTCGAATTTCATTTTAAATCTCATTCCTATCGAATAATTGCTTTTAACAGACTCCATGTATTCGTCATAAGGGACAATGAACTCGGCTGGGCTTGTCCTGTCACAGATGTATCGGAATTTATTAAAATCTCACGTGCTTCTTTAATTAACAGTAACCAACTCACATGCATTACTGTAATGAAACAAATTGATACCTAGGTTTGTAATAAACGGTGAACATGGTTTTGGTCTGAATGGCGTGCCAAGCGGTTGCGAGAACACCGAGATGCATGCTGTGGCTAGATATGACTGATGACGGAGCGTTACTCTGCTGCCTCATAGCTCGTCTTACTCCAGCTCGTAGCTCACCATTCTCGCCTCTGAAATAGTTAAAACGCTCGTTTTCAGGCATAATGAATAAAATAATTATCATGCATGCAAAAAAGCTACAAACATCTAAGAGAAGTAGTATTAAAAACCTCAAGAATATGAAGGCATCTCCAGCAACGAGCCTCTTTGAACTAACAAAGACACTCCAACCACTCTGAAGGAGGTGTCTGCGTGGTTGACCTGGCATTCACAAAATTAATCAAAATTTAGCAACTAATCTTCTTAAGGCCTCGTTTGGTTAAGATAAGATTAGTCAATAAATAATCTTATGAAAACCCACTTGTATTATCGGACCACGGGAGGTCCAATATATAATCCCCTAAAAAGGCCATGATAAAATAATATTTCCAGGTCAACCGGAACAATTGTAGGGTTTTGCCAAACATCAAACAAAATCCAATTACTCAATTAATCATGGCTAATCTCCCTAACCAAACGAGGGATAACTACTTTCAAAAATGTTATCAAAAGGCTGCATCAAGATACCTATCTTTGAAAGAAAAAAAAAGTCAAGGGAAATCGGGCAAATCATAAACCGAAATCTACTGCATAATTTACCACGAAAAATGTGCCTGAATCGCCACTCATTCCCGTGCAAATCTTTGGCCACTAATTCCTGTGTGGGAGGTTGTCTTGACATGTCCTGTTGTAGAATAAAAGACAACAACAACAACCAATCACTACTAAACATCATAAAACAAATCCACAAAGAAATCAAAAATTAACTTAAGCTGGAAATTATCCTAACGAGTGGGGGAAGACATTCGTCTGCATGGCGTCTCAGTACAGAGAATCCACCGTGAGTACTGGTATCTGATGCTGTAAGAGTTTTACAAAAAGAATGGACGTTAAAACGAGGCGGTGGAGCTGGAGGCGGTTCCTTCTTTACTGCATTCTCGTCTTGCTGCGTAACAAATTTCTCGTTATAAAATAATCCCAAGAAACATTATCAAAATTAAATTAAAAAAAACAGACACAAGTACATTAAACACCACCGCAGATCAGCTTACGTTAGGCTCGGGCATCAAAGTAACTTGAGCAAACACCTCATCCGTGTCTGGTTCAGCCTAATCACACAAAACATAGAAAACAATTATAAAAACAAAACCCGGTACATCAATTATTGTTTCGTGACGATTTAATTAAAAATTCCGAAGTACCTTCAAGAGTACATTAACGACTCGACAAAGATCTTGGACGGAAGATTATACACCGGCATTGCTGGTCTGAACTTTGATTAGTGGACGCCTCCACCTGTTCATCGTAACACCAAAACCTTATAACATCAAATACAATAAACAAGATCCCTTCTTCACAAAAAAAAATCCCCAAATCAATAATTCACATTGGATCAAATTGCAAGTTTAAAAGCCAGTTGAAAACAAAATTAAAAGTTCAACAGGTGAATGTAACAAGTTAAAAATCAATAGGCACTAATGAACAACTTCAATTACAGAAAGAAAAAAGCCCCAAATTATAGAAAAACCTGTTCGATATGACCCTGGGGAAAATAGAAAACAAGCTCGTGTTCACGAGGTACGGTAACTAAAGGACCGGCGCAAGCTCTCCATAACTCCGTGTATAACGCCGTTTCAGCATCCACTGTAAGAAACAAAGATAAATCAAATATATCTTAAAAGAAGAGTTTTAAACAGTAAACAAATTTCTTAAAATTCCGGCCAAATTTACCTTTTCCGGCGCCGGAGTTTCCATGTGCGAGATTACAGCCTTCTGCATCATTATGCCCATCAATCGACACCTCGGAAGCATCCATTTCTTCAGACAACGTTAATCGCTACTCAGATCTCTCTCATCTCCCAACCCCGACAATTTATCAACCAAAAAATCCAGAAAAAAAAAATTGCCGGAAAATTAGCGGAGAACGCGAAAATTCAGACGATTACGCGCTTATGGGGAGAGATTTAAGATGGGCTGGGTGGAAAAAAACTGGAAATCAGTGGGAATTTTGGGTTTCTTTTTTTTTTTGTTTTGGTGTGTGTTGTGCAAAGTATAGTAAGTATATCTTGAAGTATGGGAGCAAAAAGGTATGGGGAGCATTGGTAGCTAATGCCTATTGCCTAATGGGGTGATGAGTGAGAAACTAGAGTGAGAAACTACTTTGCCTTTTTCAGCTCTTTCCCTATATATTTAATAATAAATTAAAAAAAAATCGAAATTTCATAATTTGGAATTACAAAGTACTTGTTTCTTTTTTTTTTTTTTTTGAGTAAATTCAAGTCCATTACAAGGGGAAGTAGGGGAGGGGGGACTCGAACCCTAGACCGTTACCCTATTGGTAAAGGCTAGGTACCAACTCTCTTAATGAGGGTTGGTAAAAGTACTTGTTTCTAGTTTATGAAGAAAAAAATAATTGAATATTAGAAATTAAAATCGGATTGAAAATTGGAATCTCAAAAATTTCAATTTTAATCCAAAATAATTGGAAATTGGGATTTTAGGAATAGTAATGAACTTCAGATCATAAATTGGCAGTATTCGAAATCAATTGAGTTATTTAATTTGTTATCGGTATTACTATTACTATTTACTAATATATATATATAATTTATTTAATAATATAATAATCCAGTTTTAAGATAATAAAAGAGAGGCTGACTTCGTTGACCGGGAATATACCCGGGAGGAAATGGCCGTGTTTGGGGGGACAGTATTAATGAGGACGGACGTAACGGAAATGGGTGTGTGTCGCGAGAAGATTGGGTTGGCATGGTAACGGACGTTACGGCGTTGTCTGTGCCATTAAGTGGAAAGTTGTTCGATATTTACGGGGAACTGTATTTGTCGTGCTACTAGTCTACCACCACAATAAGATGGGTTTACTCATTTATAATCCACGTATATATAATTGGCTTAATCTCACTTTGCACCCTTACAATATACTATTTTGGCATTTTTCACCCTCGAAAAATAATTATAGCCGTTCGCACTCTCAAAAGTCAAAACACAATAAGTCATTCACAATGCACTCTTACTTGAATAATAATTGGTTTTTTTTTTCTCTTTTTTCCAAGATGCAAATTAACAAATTAAATTGTTATTTCTTCAACCTCGAAAAAATAAAAATCACACTGGATAATTGAAAAAAAAATATTTTCCTAGAAAATAAAATTAAATAAGCTTTTATCACTAAATTATTCGATTGGTAGATATTTTATTGTAATTGGTGGCAATGTTATGCAGAAATGTTTGGAAGAAAATATGATTTTCAGATAACTTGATAACGAAATAGCTAAATAATTTTTTTCGTAAAATATTTTTTTTTTGTGATAAAAAATATGTCTTTTAAATACCACCAAAAATATTAAATTATCTTTAAAAATTTATGTGGGGTGCTCATGCATGATATATATTGTTTCGATGGTGCAAAGTGCCATTAATTTGTTTCAATGGTATAAAGTGCCACAATTGTATATTTTAAGGGTGCAAAGTGAGATTAAGTCATATATAATTACGAGGTAAATTATCGTCCTAGAAGTAAGGTCAAATTACTAAAAATCCTCTCATGTTTAAATAATTAGAACTATTGCATCAACTATGAATCTTCTTACGTGTTTACCTCTGTAGTGTCAAATTTAGTTGAAACATCTAGATTTTATAGAATATTTTGCACTACATACCAGTCTTACCTCATTCGAGTTCCACATTTTGAAACAAGATAATCGTAAAATTATATAGAATATCCTCTACCACTTTTTATACCATAAATCAACATAGATCATTATTTAAACTACATAAATCAACATAGATCATTATTTAAACTGGGTCAACAATTATTTGTAATATGTATGCTAAAAAGTTGGTTGTTCGGGTAATATCAGTCAGACCAACTATATATATTAAGTTTTTATTACTTTTATTTGAGGTGTTTAGCATTTTTATTTTAGTTTCAAATTTCTATTCTATCTAGCATGTATTAAAAGTTGACTAAAACTCTAAAAGACGTAGACCTAATTATCGAACTTGTGGATTGTTGACTAGTTATTCAGTTCATGTTAAATGAGAAACACAGAAAGTTGAAAGTTCACTAATTAAGACACATGGCCTAAATTATTTGGATTCTATTATAATATTGTTGAACTATTTATGTTCAATTGTAAGAATATAATATTATTGTAACAACATTTAAAAAAACAAAATAATTTGTTGTTACATAATTGTACTTAATAATGAGTACAATTATTAAAAAAAAAAACCCATTACAATGAAAGTGCATATGTTCATTGATTAGTTGTCTAAATGAACTCTTAAAAACCTTTTGAAGGTGGTATGGCCTTTATCATAAAGTATATTCAATTTTTCATTTTTGTAGTTTTTTTTTTTAAATATTCCTTTTTAATATTTCTAACTAAAAGGAGAAAAAGCTATTTAAAAAAAAAGAAAAAAAAGAAAAAAAGAAAAAAGAAAAAGCTACGGATTAAGAGATTAGGGGGCAAGCACTCAACCAAAGGGCCCAGCAAAAT